GGGAGACTAATCAGAAGACATTTAAAAGAGTCACAGATGTAGAGATGTGCACATAATCCGGAATCAAGGATGAGCCACACAACACACACACACACAGCGAGGGTACCCACACTATGGCCACAATTGAATAAAAACCATAATATAATAAAGAACACTATAACAATGAGCATAGTAACGACTAAACACTAAATAAACCCCTGTTCTGCTCTGAACAGTACGACAAAATTCCCAGCCTTTCTCTAGGTGGTTCCCAGCCCTTCACCGGGCGGATGCGTTCCCTGCCGCTAGGCAGTCAAGCTAAAATAAATTCCCAGCCCCTCACCGGGCGGATGCGTTCCCTGCCCGCTAGGCAGTCAAGCTATAATAAATTCCCAGCCCCTCACCGGGCGGATGCGTTCCCTGCCTGCTAGGCAGTCAAGCTATAATAAATTCCCAGCCCCTCACCGGGCGGATGCGTTCCCTGCCCGCTAGGCAGTCAAGCTACAGTAAATAAAACACAAACCACACACCAGCTGTCTCACAAACACTCAGGAGGCAGATAGACAATCGACAGGTTTGTTTAAAAAGGCACCGGATAAGAGATTACCTGTCTTGTAGCCTTCTGGAAGCCGGAAGTGGACACGGAGACAGACCGACACAAAGGAGAATACAGACAAACCACTGTATGTAGGAGGTGATCAGGCTCCGGTCGTCCCACTTTCCGGAGGTCCGCTCCGGTCCCGTTTTCCGGCCGTCCGAACTGGCAAAACCCTGTGCCCCACATTGGGCGCCAAATGATGTGGAATCAATCAATCAATTGATTATCTTGCATATCTGCCCCCGGCCAAATTAAAAAAGTTGCGTGTACGCTCCTGAAGTAATTCACACCAGACACAGGTTTCGGGTTAATGAAAAACTTGAGAAATGTTTATTCTGGGGAGACGGCATGCCCCTTATAAAGCAAAATTACATCATATGCATTGTCAGAGATAACATGGAATAATACATCAATAATTGGTTAGGTGTTAAGTGGTTCATTTAGTGCCCTTCCTACCTGGTGTGATGTCACTGATATCTTGGAGGTCTCCTCCAGATTCCAGCGCCATCTTGTTAATGAGGGTGTTAGTCGATGTCAAAGGGAAACTCCCTAGCAGCCATTTTAGGTAAATCACATATAAGGTTGAATAATGCTGAGTAAATAGGCATTTTATTAATATGAATTGGGTTAATATTTTTGTCCACAACACTATATATGTAATAAACATTGGAGATTTAGACATGCATGGCCAAGATCTATGCAGCCCACCACTACACCAAAGTACTCAATTTACAGTAGGTCCTAACTGCCTAGATATGCATGACTAAAAGTACAATAATAAAACACACACAGTACTTAACTGCAAGGAGGAATGAGACCACTGCTAGCGGAACAACACAGAAACAAAAAGGAGAAATGGCAAAGGAACAGGTGTGGCAACAAAAAACTAAACAAGAATTGTAAAAAAAGTACTGGATACCAGAAGCCATGGCCAGAAATAACCGCAGAATGTAACAGGACGTGACATAAAGTTGGTCAGGTAGTGTCTATTCTGTAGCGAGGGGGCTGCCCCATTAAAGAAGTGGGTCTCCTGTAAGAAGGCTATAGAAATACATTGTGTTCGGAGTTCTCACAGTATGTGTGACCTGTGTTCCTGAACATTCAGCCCCTGCAATTAATGGTAAGGACTGAGAGTGGTGCAGCTCTGTAGGCCATGTGGGGTGGTGAGGTTAGGGATCAGGGAACAAAAAAACTAAACCGGAAACAATATTGGGGGAGAGGTGAGGTAGGGGCAAGGAGAAGTAAGGTTGGCAATAGAAAGTTAAGATGATGTGAAGAGGAAGAAAATAAGAGTTTAGTAGAAAGAAGAGTAGAGGGTGTGAAATTTACTAGTGTCCAAAATAGTCCCCTCAGTAACTGAGGAGCACCCGTGTGGCAGTGGAGGCTGTTAACACCCCTCCCGGTCAGATTTTCCGTTGTCTGTTGATCAACACCCCACTGCCTGTAAACCACACACAAATGTTTCTGGGGCTCGTGACTCAGCCAAAGGAACCCAATATTAATACCCCAGGATAACCAAGCAATTAGGATTAGTTTGTTTAGTGCTCGGGGTGTAAGTATTCAAGTTCACTACAGCAGGTGTGGCATACCAATTATGTTATAGGGGTTATGAAACAACCGCTGTGGCTGAGTGCGGGTCTAACAGAGACATTACGTATAACAATGATATTTACAGTTCCCCTCCCTTCATATACCCTCTTGTTTAGGGGAGTTTGGGAGACGGAGAGTCCTGCCCCTTTTGGTACTGGGAGTAATGTGTAAAAACCCCCAGACTCTCCCCCACCCTTGCTAATAAAAAACAATCCCCTCTTTCTTTCTTTCCTGTATGCTTCCGCCCCCATTCCTTCTCTTCTTGTTTTTTGTTTTGTTTTTATATATAAATATTTATTGTTGTCGTCCCCCCCTTTTGTGTATTTTACAGTGTCCCTTTATTAAAGTACACAGCAGA